CCAAAAAATAATCGTAAAAATATCATACTTTCGTACTGAATATCGAGAAAACACTTCATACAGTGATTATTGGACCTTTAAAGAGTATATTTAGGAAGTTTCAGCTGAATCCAAGTTTGAGCGATTTTCGTCGTAGTAGCACTTTAAGCTTGATTACAAATAAATAATTGTTTAAGTTTATCATAGCTAACTATGAGTTTATCAAATTGTTATCTTTTGAATTAGGTTTTGTAATATTTATTCTGCATGGGACTATCGATTATAGTACATTTATATTAATTTTAGCCGGCATAGATTTTAGAGTTTTAGGCAAGGGTTTTAAAAATGAACAAGAGAAAGCCGGAGTAGAGTGAAGAGTGAAATAGATGTTTGACTAATACATTAATTAACTAATAAATAGCCCCAGTTCCATTGTTTTCTTTTGTGTCTATTTGACTCGCAGATTCCCGAGTAGATTTTATTTCACGGGTTTGAAAAATGCCTTAACTCTATATATAATGATTCTATCGTTTAAAAGTAAAACTTTTGCCAAGTGTTTTATATCCATATACATTTACTATCATTTCGCTAGAAGTCAGATCGAATCCCGTCTAGCTCTAGCTTGCGTATTATTTTCAAAGTCACACAAGAGGTGAATACTAGAACACTTACCTTCAACAAAGGCCACGATAGAAGTCAAAAACAACACGTAAAATGTTACGGCTATCATTTTTCTCATCCTGAAACACTCCGTAGCACCGAGAAACTGTTTCAGAAACTATAGTGACTAGAGAAGAAGAAAATTAGCGAAACCCGTTAGTCGGTTAGACATATAACTGCCAACCCCAAGTAATGGGGTTTTAATAAATAAATTATAAAAACAATCGCGTGTGCATTCTACCAAATCACGGTGACGTCACTTTTGGTTAACATGAGATGCACACGTGCTGCCGTGGATGCTCAGTACACAAAGCTTAGCCGTGGAGTTCGGATCTCTTCGAATCCTTCGAAGTTGTGGAGACTTTATCGATAATATTTTTCACTTCATTCATTAGGTAAGAAGTTTAATTTGGGATATTTTTACTTTATCTTCTTTTATCTTCTTTCGTTTTAGATTTTTCAAGTCATATTTATGATGCAAACTCCGTCCAAGCGAATCTGCTTGTAAGTCGAGTGCTTCATGCCTCACTTACACCGCCGAAATTTATGCATCCTAGGCGGTTTTTGGGAAAGAAAGTTATAGTTTCCCGAGTTGCAACCATAGTTCTGCGRAATATTCATTATTTTGCTGGAATAAACTAATGGTTGCTCCCTACTGGTTTATTTTCCAGTAAATTTATTTCATGGCGGACGACACGAGGGGTTCACCTCCGCCATCTTGGAAAGATGAGATGTTGGGAATGTTCAACACATTCAAACAGGAGATCACTAATCAGATTCAGGAGCAGCTTGGACCTGTTGACGACTCAGATTCTGAACACAGCGTTTCCTCAGGAGAAAAGGACAGGGATTCGTCACAAGTCAATAACCTCGACGATTATGTGGGTAATACCACTTCTGGTTTCGACAATCTTGCAGATGAATTCTCTACATCAGATAAGACTGGGCCAGCCGTTGATTCTAAATTAGCCACCATGGTGGAGGAACTGGTTAAAGAAAAGCTACCCAAGTCAAAACTCGACGATTTGATGTCAAAATATCTTCGACCAGAAAA